GAACCCAATTTTCAAAAAAAAAAAAAAAAAAAAAAAAAAAAAAAAACCCAACCCATCAAAGGCCGACATTCTGTATTAAAAATAGTTTTCAATTTTTTTTAACAGTAACCATTCAATTATAGAAGCAGTTACTGAAGCACAAATGTATTTAACATAATAATGAGTTGTGAGAACACACACTGGAAAAATTAAATAACCCCAAATTTCTCAACACAGAAAACAGCCCGGTTCTTTACTCTGAGCACATAACTCTGAGGCAACGACCAGACTGCCCTGTCCAGGTCCCAGCAAGGCCAAGGCTGGCCTGATTACAGCAGCTGGCCAGGTCTAGACCTGGCAAAAGCTGTCTTTCCCATAGCCTGGGGGACTTTCCTGAAATAGTAAAGCAATACCACCACCACCTTAAACTCTGATTCTGGAACTCTAATTTCCTGGAGAGGTTATCACTTTCAACTTACACAAGTTAAAGACTCATGGGTAAGCTATCCTAAAAGCTAAGTTCTTTCAGAGTCCTTCAGAACTGCTTGGCTGTAAAAGGTAACAGTGTAACATTGGAATGACTGCTTTCCACACAAGTGTGTGGCCTCCCATATCCACTCTCATTTTAATGAGCCACATCAGGTCTGTCTATCTTAAGAGTAAGATTGTCCTATAAGACCAATTCATCATTTCATTACAAAGAGTTTCTTAAAGTTTTGTGGGTTTTTTTTTTTGGAGGGGGGTTGCTTATTAAGAGAGTTTGCTGGGACTATCAAGGAACTAACTATTCATAAAAACTAACCTTCTCCCCCTCAGAAGCAGTGACACTCAGAGCGTCCACCTTCATAGAAGGGAAGTAACCGAGAAAAACAGCTTCTCTCAACCGCACAGCAACATGCAATCCCTGGGACAGGGTGGAGTCCACCTGGGCTCAAGGAGGAGCCTCCTCACCTGAGAGCGCTTCAGCTAGCTAGCTACAGATGCGGAGCGATCTAACAACATCTCAAAATGCCTGCTTTATAAATGTCAAAATCAGCGGTCATTTTAAAATTCAGCTACAGAAATCACTTGAATTAAAAAGCACATATAGAAATAACCCAAATATTTCTTGGATTGTGTACTGAATTTTCCTTGTATAATGCTTTTTACAAAGCCATCGACTCTCTTTACCATCAACCAGAATTGTGATTTTAGTAAATAATCTACTTGCAATGGTTAACGTGACCAAACTGTCTTGCTAGGTTCCTATTGCCTCCCACAGAGTGCACTCAATTCACACAGTAACTGAACAAGTATTGCCTTCATAAAAGCAAGCTGGACCCTGTCCAGGAAGGATCAGAGTTCCCTCCCCCACATACAGACCAGCCCTGGGTGCTCAGGAGTTTGAGGGAGACCAGCTCAGAAGGTAAAGGAGCCTGAAGACAGTCCAGAAGAGAGGTAGGCAGGCCAGATGGGGCTAGAGTTTTTGGTCCAAGAGCAAAAGCTGGAAGATCCGGCCCTGTTCTGTCCTGTGCGTCCTAGAAACGTGTAATTTCTAGCCCCTTTGCCCCTGCTAATCATTTCTGTTCAGGCTAATCTGGTAAAAACGAGCTGCCTTTAGAGGACCATAACCTTTTCTTCAGCGTCTCGTTTCGCTCGCTCCTCCTCCTGCTGACGCCGGCCTTCCTCTTGTCTCGCTCGGTCTTCTGCTTCCCGTTGGCGCATCTCTTCCAACTGCTGCTGGCGCCTGCGCTCCTCATCCTGCAACTAACACCACGCTGACTTTAATGTTGACCCAGTAAATCCCACCAGCACAGACATAAAAAGCACGCAGAGACAAGCAGACACACAGACACAGGCACAGAGAGTCAAGTGAAAACACCAGGTCAAGTCACTGTCAGAAGGTGGTAAAGCTCACCTAGTTATAGCTCTATCATTTCAAAGTAAGCTACGTAAAAACTGTCTCCAGTCTCAAAGTTATTCTTTCATAACCATGGCTCCAAGAAAGAAGTTACTTCACACATCCATGCATTAACCAAGCATGATTCTTTCGTTACAATATGTTAGCTACCTCCTGCGAATTAGCAACTACAGACCACAACCACCCTGAACGTTAAGAAAGGCCTCTTGCCTGTGGGGTACAGTTGGGACACACGTCAGCACAGGCTGCCTGTCCCCATGCCAGCCTCAGTTGAGAGCTGTTCTGAATTTTTACTTGGGGAGAAAGGGTGAGGGTCTAGTGTTCTCCTCCTCCTCCAGTGTCCCCTCCCCCTGGATGCCATCATGGACTCTGAAAGTCCCTACTTGGCTCTGACATGACCTAAGAGTTAGAGTCAGAGTCTCAACTTGGGGTTTGGCAGGAACTCATCTGTCTCATTTCTGTCTACACACACATATGGAAACCCTGCCACACCACTACCACCCCCTCAGACAGGAAATTCTGCTCTAGGTAACAGCTAGTAAAAAGTTCTTTGGTTGGCTCCAAATTCATCACCTAATTGTCTTCTACTTTCATCCACTCAGGTGTAATCCTTTCGTCTTTCAGTGCTCAAATACCAATGATGCCTTCAAACACGCAAGGTACCATATTTTTCTGTTAGAAGCTCTTGGAAGGACAGACTCCCTTCTGTTGATCCTGATCTATGGCTATGTGTGTGGTTTATTCCACAGTGTAATGGTGAAACAGCTACACAGACTTTGACTCTACAACTACAACTGCGCTATGACATGTCACCACGAGCTGCAGATTCACACTCTCCAAAGTTTGAAAGGGTCCCCACGTCACTCTGCTGATCTCTAGCCACTAAGAAATTCCTTACATAAGATTCCTGTGCAATGAATTTCAAGTTCTATAGAATTACCAGCTCTCCTATGCACTGCTTATAGCAAAACATAAAGTATTAACTTCTGGATTTAGATTGCATTTGTATCTTAAAAAAAAAACAATCTACCAATTTTCCTATTTTCTGTGAAGCAAAATACTGTATTGTAGTAAAGAAATTTAGGCTGTACTGTTGGGTTCATGTCAGTAAATAATGAAACACCCTAGAAAAATTAAAGCTGTCTTCTCAAAAAGATAAACGCAGTTAACGTTCTCTTTAACATGACCTGGGTGCAAGCCAAGTGGAGGCTGGGACCGAGGGTTTTATAGGAGGAGTGGGTGCTGCTAGTGAAGAGCCAAGGTGCAGAGAAGAGGAAGCCACGGCCCACTCCGAGGACTGAATGGACCACAGTGCCTGTGCAGACCCTAGAGGGTCACATCCAGTGGCAAGATATACAAACACGCCCAGGACAGGGCACTGCAGTCAACAGCACGGGGATGAGAAGGGCTCAGGGAAGGTGACGGCAGGAGGCTGAGCTGCACGCTGTAGGAGGCTCTCCTTCTGGGGAAGGGGAAATGAGGGTGCTCACATACCCACCTGGAAAAGTAAGATCTGTGCAGGGAAGTGTTGTGCAACGATCTAGCTGATCAGTTCTTTTGAACTAAACAGGATCTTTAAGAAATCTAAATTCTAACTACAACTGCTATTTTACAAATTCATAAACAGGTGTTTTCTCTAAAAAATATGGTTCTAAATCTAGAGAGTGAGTGGTCAGCAAGGAGTCTTCTTAGAATCATAAGTTACTTTTTTTA